AGGGGGTGAATGTGGAATGGTCAAGTTATAACAGGTGAACAAAACATACGCCTAGATTTCCATTAGAATAGATTTCTAGTGAGGGATGCAAGTCATGCCTTGTCGGATTTAACTTCCCGTAGGAGAACTGGCGAAGTGATAGTGAGGCCGAGTCCGTGCGGTCGGCTGTAGCTTACCACTGGTGCTAATGCTGGTGAATCCCTGATAAGTGAGCCGCCAGTAATATTTTGGAAGCCTCGCACCAAGTAATTGCAAGGGTGAGGTATCGAGTCTAGGTTATCTCAGACGCAAGACGTAAATATTAGGTTAGGATAACCGCACCCAAATCTAATGCGGACGTCAACGAATGTACCGGGAGGTATTCGTGGTCACATACATAGAGATAGCAGGCCAAAGATTTAGGCCGCATCCATATGAATCGAATCTTGAGGAGCGGAAGTCAGCTAGGCGCGGTACCAAGTAGGCGAAGCTGACGCACCTCCAGGTCAAAAGAGAGCAAATGATCGTAGCTGAAGGCTTCATGTCAGCCAAGACTCCTCGTCCAGTCAGTTGTAATACATCAAGAATGTCAGTGCGGCGACTGGCACATATTTGTGAGGGAATAACGAACGGCATGGAGTTTGTGGCCGCACCTGCGAAGTAACTGGTAAGCTTGCCATCGCTGGCTACTTGTAACAACTCTTTCACGGCCTCTTCAGGCAGAGATTGAAGGTATTCGTCCATGCTAGGTGAAGTAGTGTGCGAGAAGGAAAGAACCAGATTGCGTTGTTTATGACCCACGACGTGGGTCCAAGATATGGATTATTCTAATCAGGAACCCGGTTTCTCAAAGAAACCCCTCCAAAAATAGATGTGTTATTAGGGAACCGGGTTTCTCGTGAAACCCCCGCCGGCCGATACCTCCAGTGGGTCACTAAGATCATTGATTGCCGAAGATATCCCAAAACGGTTCCTGCCGCCGTAAGCATTTAAGTTCAATTGGATTCAAAGCTAAATATATCACTACTGGATATTCTACTCTTGGAGGGAACAGTTAGAACGATTATGTCCATCCTTTCAGCACAATGCACACTTGTATGGACGACCTGAGCGGGATTTTTTCGGAGGAGGTGCGGCTGGTTGTGAAGAGTCCTCATCATGAACTTGGGCTTGCGGCCTCGCAGAATTAATGCCCGAGGAACCGCCACCACGTGCGCGTCCCTCTCGCGCATTCGTCAAGCATGTGGTACGGGGGCAACCCTTGTGGGAAATGACAGGTAGATCCAAGATTTGCTCGCGCCGGCTGTCTTCCATGTTGCGTTGACTGGTACATAACATTAAATTAAAGATAAGAAACAAATTGCGAAAAACACTCACTGGAGGTCTTGGAGGCTTTGAACAAGGCCATCTACCTGCTCACTGGTTTGTACACCAGCCAAGAGCCTGGTAGCAAAGTGCGCCACAATGAGGCAGTGCGCGCACATGCAACTCGTCTTTCAACACTGAGCTCATTCAGACGAAACCTTTGCTTTTATACGCGCTCAGAAAATTGATACAGGTGGACAAAAATATGAAGAGGAGTTTGGGTAGTGACGCGCAGCAGCGAAACGGCCCGTGAATAAATAAAAATGCAGTCAATGAGACGGCACAAAAAGGGCAGAAGGCGGTCCAGATACACCGTGTTAACGCATCACACGGGAATGCTGAGAATATTTTGAAAAATCGGCGGGCTTGGGCCTTCTTGTGTAGCACTTGGGAGATCATGAGACAGTGCATTTTTGTTGAAGCTGTGCAATACATATGGAAGGAACCAAATGGGAAAAGTGCAGAGCCTTTGCATCGACGTCGTGATAAGTCATGACCCGCAATGTAGGTAGGTAGGATGAAATACAACACTCGGAATTTAATTGCAGACTGGAAGAGAGAATTACCAGTTGGAATGTCTTCATTTCTTCATCGCCCTGCAGCGGGTTTCGGAGTTGTCGTAAAATGATCCGCAACTCCATCGGGCACCGACGCCGATATTTCGGAGGGGTTTCCGATTAGAAATTTCAAAGATTTCTCGGGTTTCTCTGAGAAACCGGGTTCCTCATTAGAATAATCCCCAAGATATCAGAAGATATCAGACGAGACGGAATAATATACCATTACATCATCCTCGACAAAAGATCATCTCCAAAGTGGATTAGAACGCTGAGCCAGTTGGCCACACAACTTACGAGTCAAGAGTTGCGCAATATTGCCAGTGACCTCAAGTGCCGTGCCAGCGGACGGCGCGATTATGCTGCTACCGCTCCTCTTCCTTCTCCTACTGTGAAAGACGGGTATCAATCAACCAACGTGAACAGAGCGCCAGATCCCTTGAAGACCCCAAAATATTTTTGCAACAGCGGAACAATCGATTCTGTTAGAACCTTTGGCCCTCGAGCGCTCCCCGGCTGCAAGAACATGCTAGGAAGTTCATGGAGTGCAAAGCTGCAGAGTATTTCCGGGCCGGATTTCCATTTCCCCAAGGCCGATACCCAGGCTCATGGCGGTCAGAAGGAAAACGGCTCGAGTGTCGCGTGAGAATGAGAAATTTGACCGTGTTTCAAGTTGGCCGGTCAGAGTTCGATTTCCGCTTCCGCCTCCATCTGCTCAACACCACCGCCAGGATACGTAGCATTTATCGCTGTACCTATACTCGTCTACTGTTTAAATCTCTCTTAACCGGTAACATGACTCTCACACACTTTTTTGGCGACTTCTGGCGACCTCAGCGCCGATTATGTTGCCATTGCGGTCACCTCCTCCTCTTGATTATTATCGTTCACTCACTCATACATACCCGAACGTAGGGAATGATCCCGTGTGTATGGCGCCCGTCTTCCGCATCGTGGGCGAGCTCAGCTGGCCGGGTGTAAAATTCCAAGCGAGAGCCACTGATTCTGAGACTAAGACAATGTTTCCTGTGGCGCACTTCCAGTTCCACCTTAATTCTGTGTTTTTCGTTTTCAGCAACTCCGTCCGTGGGTGTTGCGACAGTGATCTCTCGCACATTTGGGCTGGACATTCAACATAGTTAACAAGTGTGTTACTACCCCCGACAGTTTACAAGGAAGTTCGAAAATAAAAATAATTTAATGGCCCAGCGCTGAACCGCTGAAAACTCACCAATGCAAGAATTTATCTCGGTCAGTCGATCTCGGAGTAATTCGTCATGGGGGAGAGGGAGCGCAAGAAGGAGAGATGGGAAAGGGACGAAGCCCGGCGCAAAAAGTGGGAGAAGGGAGGGACGCAGATGGACTGGCAGAGGGAGGGGAAGAGGCGCAAAAGAGGGAGAAAAAGGAGGGCGGGTGAGACGGAGGAGGAGAAGGGAGGCGAGGCATGGGAGATGGAGGCATGGGGGAGAAGGCGCGCAAGGAGATGGAGGCGGGGGCGGAGAGAGAAGAAAGAGCGAGGAGGGGCGGATGGGCACGATGAGGAAGGCGAGGGGAGGAGGATGGGAACGAAGCGAGAGAGAGTGGTACATAGGGGATGGATGAATGAAGGCGGGGGAAGAACGATGTGGTGTGTGGGGTGTGAGGGAGGATGGGAGATTGAGCGGCTACCATGCCGGCCACCGTCTTCAGAACAGGATGCTCCCCCCCCAAAAAAAAAGAAAAAAGCCAAGTTGGAGTAGGGCAACGCACCGGTGGTGGGCGACCCGGGTGCGGCGGCGGCGGGCGTGGCGGTGGGGTCCATGAGGGCGTAGAGGGGCGAGACGACGGAGCCAGTCGTGCAGCGCGTGCGGTCGTCCTGCGTGATGCATCCATCAGCATCGATTGCGGGTGGTGATTGCAAGCCCACATTGAGCCAATGCAGCTCCATATTGTCGTGCGGCATGCCCTTCGAGCTTGGCTGATTCACGCACAGCACTGAGGGAAGACAAACATACAAGCGATTCCTGTCGATTGCATATGTAGCGGGCATCGTCTGCGCGGGCTCGCCGCCATCGGGGTCCATCGCAATTCAAGTCGAGAAAAAGAGACACCGTGGGAAGGCGCTTCAAAGACTCCGGCACGCCCCGAGAAGAGACCGGCACGGCATCGCGGCACACGCAAACGGCGTCCTGGGCTGAGGACGACAACACGGAGAAAGCTTGCTAATTGTCCTCGGCGCGCGGCGCATGCTTGTGTCTGTTAGCTTGAACTCGACCTTCAGGATCCTCCCTGAGCTCCTAACATCACACACCCTCCACTGTTTCCCAATTAACCCAACCTTCAACGTACCGCCCACACCCCCGGTTCGCCCAAAAATAAAAATAATCTTGGTGAACACCCTCCCTTCAATACGTATTTCCTTTCACTCCGCTCAATCCCCTCCCCTGTCTCAACTATGTTTTTGGACCTGAGCGCTGACGTCGTGGGTTCAGTCTGTCCTATTAAGTTAGCAAGATCCGACGCGCGAACAAACGCCAAAACAAGCACCCTGGACGTGCGAACGAGCCCGATGTCGGGACTCGGGCGTGCGGACGGGCCCGGCGTCCGGGGCTCCGCCTTTGGCTTGGTACATATGAGAGAAGTGCAGACCCAGAATCCCGGTGTGTGTGTGGTCTGTTTTGGTGTGAATCTAAGTTTAAAATTAGAGGCATCACCGGTACATACACAAAAGCACGCGCCGCGGGACTGGTGTACGTATGAATAGACAAAGAGAAAAATGAGGAGCGCATGGTACTGCATGGTACCGCAAAAGGCGGGTCAAGCAGACGCAAACCAAAGTCCTGCACACCACTATGTATTGAGATCTTGAATAAAACAAAAAAAAACCATCCCCAACACAAAAAAGCGATGCAAAGGGAAAATGACCCAGCCCTGATTCGAACAGGGATCACCTACATTGCGATGAGGAATAGGACACAACAAGAAGCAAGCATGTTACCGTTACACCACTGGATCTTAAATTCTTTCTGCCGCAGAGATAATCAAGGTAGCTTACGACACACCACCGGATCGTGGCATCTGAGATTTTGATTGGTTGAACAAAAATAAAAATAAAAATAATGATCCAGCCCTGAGTTGAACAGGGAACTCTTGCACAGTTGAATGTCTTACTTTCATTTATTTTGAGTAAGTGTGTTACCACTACACCACCAGGTCCTTATTCACACCCCATCTTCGAGATTTTGGCGGCTGAATAAAAAAAACAGTTCTACGGATGAAAAAATAGAATGACCCAGCCCCGAGTTGAACAGGGATCTCTTGTATACACTACCACGGATAGATTAACTTAAGCAAGTGTGTTACCATTACACCACCAGGTCTTTGGTGTCATCCCAGATTCGACATTTTGGTAAGTAGCTGTATAAAATAAAACAATTCTATGGGTGAAAAAACAGAATGAGCCAACCCCCGAATCGAACAAGGATCTCTTGCACGAACATTTTATTGCACCAATTATGTTGAACAAGTGTGCTACCACTACACTGGATGACTTTCCATGGCGGTTTAAAAAGTCTGGGGAATATCTGAGCTTTTCCGGCTGTGATGCCGAGACAGCTGTCAGGACCCCGGAAAAGCCATCACCTCAAAACGGATGGATTTAATGTGAATCTGTAAAAATCTGTACAGGGGGTAGGGACCCCCTGTACAGATTTTAATAACCACATTGTTGTTCGAATAAACCGGTTTAGGCCAATGCTCCGGTGATCCTGCTTAACTCTTGACTTTCCACCTCATATCACGACCGCTCACGGCAGGCTTTCAAACTCCGCAAGCCAGAACAATGGTACCCTGAGCATGTCAGCCTCTTCCTGCTCTTCCCTTCTGCCCCGCCAATGCGCTCATGCCCCTGCTGACCTCCACGACCGAGAGGGCCCCGCCCTGATATCCTATGGCCACCTGCCAGCAGCCAGCTATTCCTCCGAGTCCTTCTGCTCTGCCGCTGCCGACCACGCATACACACCCTCCTTATCCCTACACATGATAAGCCTACGCCGGCACCCGCCCGTCAAGCACACCCACAAGACCGACACGTGAGGTGATGGCACACATCCACAAGCACCCCGCAGCAGCGCGCCCACAGCGACAGGGCGTGGTATCCCAAGCCCACACCCATGCGGTGATACCGGCTGGCGACACAAGACAACGTGCACTGGGTGAGTGCATGTCCAGCGCGCATTAGTGTGCGCCGAGGCTAATGAGTCCGGGGCAAGGCGTGGAACCATGCAGTCCGCGAGCGTAGCCCACGCCTCCTCCCCATATGCGCCGTGCTCGCCGAACTGCCCACAGACACTTTAAGGCTCACGCTGGTATACTTATCGCGCGCGCAACGAGGCGCGAGCTGTGCATTGATCTGGGGAAAATAGGTGTATCTCCACTTGCTGCTTTCCTTTACTGAAGACACCGGCACATATTTTCTTACCCAGGGTACGGTTGGGGCTTGGCAATCGAGGTGTGTTGCACTGTCCTCGCGCTTATTCACTCGCTTACTCGCTTTTGTTTAGCTGTGCAGCATGAAGGGGAGAAAATTTCCCAGCATGTGTAGTCAGTAGTTATGATGAATTGCATCTACTTGTTTGCGTCTTGTCCTTGACTTGTGCGAGTGGTTCAACATAAAGCCTGCATCGGACGCGTTGTTTGGCACCGTCACGAGCTCCAAACACCCGGTTAGTGACGGGCCGAGCCCAAAGCTGTAATTGTTGGATATGTGGCTTCAGCTTTAAAAAATGGCTCCTGTGCGTTTCCCGTAGTAAATGCGTGAATAATTGCTTTGATCCAATCACTGGCACTCTCAAAGAAGCTCAGATAGTCCCCAGACTATTTAAACCACCATGGAAAGTCATCCACTACCAGGTCCTTAACTTGAACAGAAATAACATTTAACTCAACCTCAATGGAAGAATGAAATTCACCACAAAAATAAAATAAAAATGTGACCCAACCCTGAATTGAACAGGGATCTCTTGCGTAACACACTTTAATTTACACTTATTTAAGGCAAGTGTGTTTCCACCACACCACTGGACCCTTCCTTTCTCTACAAACAATCAAGTCAAAATAATGAATTCCGAAACAAAAATAAAATAAAATATATGACCCAACCCCGAATTGAACAGGGATCTCTTGCACTAACGTATTCCTGTCCATGTTATTGTACACAAGTATGTTTCCACTACACCACTGGATCTCTGAAAAGAATGAACTGACATTCTGGCTGAACAAAATAATTAGAAACTGATAAAAGTAAAAAATGACCCAACCCTGAGTTGAACAGGGATCCCTTACATACATATGCAACTTTTTCCTTGATTGTACACAAGTATGTTTCCACTACACCACTGAGTCCTTCCCTTGCACAAAACCAACATTCGACTCAACCTCAATGGAAAAATGAAATTCATCACAAGAATAAAAATAATGACCCAACCCTGAGTTGAACAGGAGTCTCTTACATAACTCCAGTAACTCCACATACAACCAAATGCAAGTGTGTTACTACTAAACCACTAGGTCTTCCATATCTCTGAGAGTAGTGAAATGAAATCAAATTTGATGGCTGAACTTTGAACACAGTGACCCAGCCCTGAGTTGAGCAGGGATCTCTTGCACAGCTTGTTCCTGTCCATGTTATTGTCCACAAGTACACCACTGGGTCCTTGGCATCATATCAGATATTCGAGATTTTGACGGTTGAACAAAATGAAATCCAATGCAAAATAAAAGACTAACCCAGCCCCCAAATTGAACAGGGATAACTTGCACACCTTTTTCTGTGCATGTTATTTTACGCAAGTATGTTTCCATTACACCGCCGGGTCCACTCTATCTTTGAGAACAACGAAAGTAAATTTGATGGTTGAAACTTGAAGAAATAATTCAACACAAAATAAAAGAATGACCCAGCCCTGAGTTGAACAGGGTTCTCTTGCATATTTTATGTAAGTTTCTGCGCTACTATTACACCACTCACACCTAATATTACCCAAATACGGTGCAGCCTAAGCTGATCTCGAACATCAAAAATCGGATTACAATAAAACTGGTCTGAAATTAGAACCTATTCTCATAGTTTAATGTTTGAATAAAACAAAACATTTCAAACACAAAAGTAAATTTGAGTGCATATGACGCAGCCCTGAATCAAACAGGGATCTCTGGCAAACATATATTCCAGATCACAAACAGATGATGAGCAAGTGTATTTCCATTGCATCTGAATTGGGTCCTACCTTCCTCCATGATAACCAAGTGAAGTGGATCAAACTATTCCTGGTTCCGGATTTAGGGACCAGGTCTCACTTGCGTAATTGTCCGTCCGTACGATATACACTGCTTATTACTTGGGGTAAAGGGCCGTGGCTTTGCCCGGCATGACCTCGTACTTACTTTTTTTTGTACTTTGTGCCGAGTATCCATATACCACCTCCCAGTTGGTGGCACTCATAACCTGATAGGCTATGCACTTAAGTAGCCAGCTATGTTGGAATATGTGTCTCTATTTATATTCCGCTCGTTTATCTCTCGATGTATCAGATCTATTTTCGCTTTCAACATGCACCGTGAATTTAACTATCTCGTTATGTTTAAATATAATTCCCAATCTCCGCGTTATGAGATATTTGCGGCCGGAATTTTTTGCGGTAGTGAGCTTTCAGGTTACTAAGACTGATATATGTTTAATGACTTTTCATCTGTATGGTGCTGCCTGTTTATTTGTTCATCAACTCTCTTGTCACCGATTAGTGGCTTCTAGAAAACAGCTGTTAATTTTACTTGGCCTAGTTTTCATATAGCTTTTGATATGCATATGTGTTGGTATACAGAAATTCAAGAATTCTGAGTAATACTCCACGAAAGGTGATTCTTGCATCCATATGTCGTTTTTTTTTGCGCGCAGTGTGCTGATATATTTTCAAACCTTCAAATTGCCACCGATACTAATCATTCACAGGATGCTCAAGTGGCCGAGAGAATGGCGGCTATGAGCATACAGACGGTTCACATAAAACCCGCGGAGAGCACCAAACGGAGGCAGCTCTCGTCGGACGAGACGGATGGCCCGGGAGGACCAAGACACTAATAAGAGGCCGATTTTTAACTTCTTAAACAACACCGAACAAGTAGCCGAGTAGGCAATCATTTAACTACCTTCATTTTAATTTATACATGCCAATAGTCATTTTAATTTCACTCGGGCTGAACTTGAAGTGTAATAGGCAACGAAACATAAGAATTAAATTGGCATTCACAAGGCAAAGCAATCTGCTCTGGACAAGCCTAGGAGTATCAAATCCCGCATCTGCCTGACAGCAACTATTCCGCACCCGAACGAGAGGGAAGAGGCACACTGTATGGCCCTGTTAGCAACGGAAGGCAATGGAGGGTGAGCAACGACACGTGACATTATTTATAAACTTTTTCGGTAGTCAGTACCACAGCGGCTGAAGGTCAAGGAAAGAAACAACAAAGGATATAAGTATTGCAGGCTTGCAATCATGGATGCCACACGGGATGACATTGGCAGTCCGCGAAAAAAAAAAACGGCCCGTGAATTGCACTTGAATTGCACGCACCTTTCAGCCGTGGCGTCACGTTCCGAATGTACGAAAAGCAGTAATACAGGTATTTGTGCAGTGCTTTCTATGCACTCCCACCCCCCTCTCTCCAGCGATTTTTTATAAAAAAGGGAGACCATTGAATGGTGAAATGCTATACTCGGAACAGACCGGAGATCGGACCAGTCCGGAAGAAGCCCCTCTTGTAAAGACATCTCATAGTTTGGTCAGGACCAAGGTATTCTAAATATTTTGGTGCATCTAGATAGTCAAAGAACACAGTAACATATGTCTCTCTTAAATTAGAGGACTATATTCAATGGTTGTTGAGCTGGAGCCTCGTATTGAGGGAGGAAATTGGCACGGGGGATATAGGTCTAATAAACGGTTGGTCGGTCGCGAGGAACCTTCGCACAAAGAGGAAGCAAGGAGGGCTGGCCCAATCTTATTCAATAGCATAAATAACGACACCGAACTCATAGTATAGTCAATGGCTCGAAAAATAATTTGACCTAGACTCCAATTAAATTTACTGTTCATTTTCGGATTAAATTTGGCGAATTGGCGTCAAAATGGGCTCCCTGCCTCCTGAAGTTCGCATGCCAGCTGCTAGACATGAGCTCTCTCATACTGACCTTGCTTGGGCCTCTCCGCGAAGTTTGGTGATCAATTACCATATCTGGTTCATCTCACATATCTTCAACTTGATAAGTTATATTCAACTTGATTTATATTCTTTCCCGGTCGAGGTGGCACTTCAAATACACACATAGTGTCGATAATGGTCCCATTTTGCTTGCTGGCCTGCTTTCCTGGAGCCAGAAACGTAACTTTCAGCTCTATTTGACGCAGAATTTTGACTTCCTCAAAGCTTTTGATTCAACTGCAACTTTGAGGTGAATTAGAGCATTTTTCTGCTCTACTTACCTCGGTGCAGTAACTTTCGCAGAACCGAGCCCGTTCCGTTGGCCGTGACGGCCGTCCCGTCACCCGTCCCATCCCGTCGAGGAATTTTTCAACCACTCGACGGACCGTTGGGTAACGGTTCAGGCCCGTCACTCACCCGTCGAAACGACGGCCGTGCCCGTCACGGGCACGGCGAACAGCCCTAGGCCGAAGCGAGTTTAGTCAGCATAAGATGGAGATGTGCACGCGAACACACGGCGAGATAGTGGACAATCATAAGAAATGTGCTGCACAAGTCTTTCTAGACGTCGAGCGGCCGTAAACTCATGCCCGCGTAACGTGATGCAAAAACCTGTCGGATCATTCCGAATGCGATGGCAAAAAAAAAATTGGCATTGTTTGCACATGTTGTTATTTTTCACTGAGTGGGGGGTATTTTTCCCCGAGTATGTAAACATGTACAATACTCAGCCACTAAATACACTAGGTTTTTTTCTAATAAAGCGATAAAAACGACTTCACACAGCCACTAAAAAGTACCTCACAGTTTTTTGTCACTGACCCTAATTAAGGTCCCCCGAGATATGAAAGAGACGATCCTTATTACATAAGTACTCGCAAATGATGCCATCAAACATCTCTTTGCCCTGCTCCAAGTCCGCCTTCTACGATTATTCATCCTACTCGCAACTTCGCCTCTTGGATCTGAGCATCCTCCCAGTCGTTTCTACCTTCCAGACAACTTCCAGTGGGTTCCAGAGTAATCTTACCACTCTCAAGGGCTTTTACGAAACCATAGTACTAGGATCTCCTATCTCTTGCAGCAGGCTTTCAGACTATGGGGTTACAACACTAGCGACGTCTACAATCTATAGCAATGGCCGATTGAACTGCTCTCTGTTATATTCGCCTCAAAAACAAAAAGACTCTGGCTTGGAGGGGCAATTACATTTATTCACCCTATTGACTGCCTATTTGTCCCTTCCCTCATTGCTGTCGGCATTTAATCACCCACGTGTTCTCGTCTCTGCTCCCCTTGGCCACAAATCCTGTTGAGACCATCCAACAGCTGGCATAGAGCAGCACGCACAGACTTGATGAACACCCTAAATGACGCCTGGCATCTATAAATGTTCAATCAAGTATACAGTCTCTGTGTTTTGTCTTTATCTTTCAAATACGGATCAAGTCCAGAATAATATTGTCAGCGAAGAGTATTCAACTCGTAACCCAGTCTCCGAGACTCATAATTAGTCTGGACTCAGTAAATAATTGCGAAAATATGCGGCAAGCGCTTCGGTGCTTCAACGGTGCCTGCCACATTTTTTAGTCACTCGTATATTGACTGGTTAGTCTAAGAAGTAGAATCTGTGACTGGAGGAGGAACCAGGGCTGCCTGGAAGGCTATTGTATAAACAAAACAAAAGCAATGCCCCAGCTCTGAATTGAACAGTATATTTGGGTTGGCACAATAAGGTTTTAACAAGTGTGTTACCACTCCACCACTGGGTCCTTCCACCACATAAGGATAACAAGCTCAAGCTAAACATGGTATTGTGCTGAGTAACAAAGCATGAATTACCCGCCAATGCAATAGTTTATTTTGGTCAGTCGATTTCGGAGCAATTCACCAGATTTAGAGTTAAACCAGAAGAGAAAGGAAGGGTCCAATGGTGTAGTGGAAACACACTTGCTTGAAATAAGTGCTGATTAAAATGCGTTACGCAAGAGATCCTTGTTCAACTCAGGGTTGGGTCTTTTTTTTTTTATCAGCTTCTAATTATTTTGTTCAGTTGGAATGTTAGTTCATTGTTTTTGGAGACCCAGTGGTGTAGTGGAAACATACTTGTGTCCAATAACATGGACAGGAATACGTTGGTGCAAGAGATCCCTGTTCAATTCAGGGTTGGGTCATATATTTTATTTTATTTTTGTTTCGGAATTCGTTATGTTGACTTGGTTATTTGTAGAGAGAGGAAGGACCCAGTGGTGTAAACGGCTGAGAGGCGGAAGTTCAACTGGGATTCCTGTCGGGAACGTCAACGACCTGACGGCCCAATCTTGATATCTTGACAAATACCGACATGGTTTCACCATCGCCAGGAAATCTTCAAGCTGCAAAGAACCGTCCCACCAAGCTTGCCAAATTTAGGCGCAGCTGATGTGCTATGTGAAAATCCAAGAACAGAATTAAGGATAAAGACCAACTGAAACTGGGGATGATTCCAGTAGTTTCAACTTCATCTGATAATTGATGATTGTGGCTGAAAGTTCGTTGATAAGTTGCAATTTAGTTCTACCGAAGTTTAATTGAAACTCTGTTAGTTGGATTACAAAACAGACTACTTTATCCTGCCAGGAAGGGGCCACTTGAGAGCAATCGGTGAATAATGACATGCACCTGTTCTGGGCCTGTGAAGTATGATTGACGGATTTGTGCTGGGCCTCAAGAATTTATTTTTTACACGGCCCAGTCAAGGTCAAGTCCCATGGGCCGACCGATGTGTCTGAATCGTGTCCGCCCCTGGTTTGTAGCTCACTGTAACTACCCAAAGTCATCCTCTCCGCTGCAAATAGATACTAAACTCGTCGTGACAAATATATATACCACGAATTTGAATGTAAAATGTGGAAACAAGCCGTGTCTGGCAACTCAGCCAATACTGTTTTGTGGATCGTAAAATCGACCCCAGGGCCGGGAGTCAATGAGGCACAATTTATTCCATCAATTCAATACACCAAACAGCCAGTTAAATGTTCTCCTACTTGAAATTCGACGAGGGGTACTTGGGGGTCACGGAGTCCGATGAGGATCTAGGGAGCACCGAGATGGATCACGTCGACATTCATGGCCTCCATGATGTTCAAGAGAACGCGGGAGCCGACGATTGAGTAGGCACTAGGATATTGGTCAGTTCAAGTGGGATTCAATGGCGATGTAGGTAAGGGCATACACGATGGATGGGCTGCACGCATTCACAAGTCTTAATCGGCCACAATTTCGTGCGTATCACCAAAGAGCGACGTACATAATCAGCAATCCTTTCAAGCTTTGACGGACGAAGACACACATGATTATTTGTGGTGGGCTAAAAGCTAGGTGGAATATATCAGGTAAGATGCCTCAGGGAATTGAATAAGACGACGAGCCGACAACGGCCAGGAACCAATATATCCCGTCCCGGAGGAATAAGTCAGCCAGGGAGAGATTGCGGGAAGTGAAGCTGACGCCGCGGCGCGACCTGTAGTTGTACAGAGTCATGACGAACATTGCAAACGTCTGTAGGATAATCGTCGGTCTGGCGGAGGTTCAGGAAGATGGGTGTGGACTGACCACAATGAGAGACGGCACTGGATAGAACGCGAAAATCGAGGGCACAGCTGGAACCAGAAGCGTGAGGTGAGAATATGAGGGAGAATGCATGACGGACCCAAAGAATAGCAACCTTTAATCAAAGGTCTGGGGGAAGTCAGCGCTAGTAAAATAAATGTTGATCTCAGGTGTACCCAGCATGAACGTAGTCTGATGCAGGTCAGTTTAGTTTTAGATAAGCTCGAAGAACCAGAAAGAGGCGTACGGCTGCTTTCCAGGATGGTGTCAATTATGATAAAAAACCTGAAGCGGTCGTCAATGTCGTCTCAGTGACTGGGCTGGGTTCACGAACATTGTAACAATCTCGACTGAACATTTCAAATGTTAACAAGACATAACGGAGAGCAAATCTCATACTAAATATGGAAGGCAAGAGGATGTACATCAGCAGGCGTGATTTCCTGAACAATATCCAGACTCTTGAGGTAACCGTCAATTTCCAAAAAAAAAAAAAAAAACTCAGGACCATCTCTGACCTCAAGAGTAGGATGATATCTGAAGTGACGATGATGAGAGTGGCCGCCACACCTTGCATCTGGCGTTCTATTAGAAGTATAATCCAAATTCCAGCTCTGCAACTCACTAGGAAGTAAATGAGACAGCTGAAGGGGGTGAATGTGGAATAGTCAAGTTATAACGGGTGAACAAAACATACGCCTAGATTTCCATTAGAATAGATTCTAGTGAAGGATGCGAGTCATGCCTCGTCGGTTTTAACTTCCCGTAGGAGAACTGGCGAAGTGACAGTGAGGCTGAGTCTATGCGGTCGGTTGTAGCTTACCACAGGTGCTAACGCTGGTGAATCCCTGATAAGTGAGCTGCCAGTAATATTTTGAAAGCCTCGCACCAAGTAATTGCAAGGGTGAGGTATCGATTCTAGGTTATCTCAGACGCAGACGTAAATATTAGATTAGGATAACCGCACCCAAATCTAATGCGGACGTCAATGAATGTACCGGGAGGTATTCGTGGTCACATACATAGAGATAGCAGGCCAGAGATTTAGGCCGCATCCATATAAATTGAATCTTGAGGAGCGGAAGTCAGCTCTAGGCGGGGGGACCAAGTCGGCGAAACTGACACACCTCCAGGTCAAAAGAGAGCAAATGATCGTAGCTGAAGGCTTCATGTCAGCCACGACTCCTCATTCAGTCAGTTGTAATACATCAAGAATGTCAGTGCGGCAACTGGCACATATTTGTAAGGGAATAACGAACGGCATGGAGTTTGTGGCCGCACCTGCGAAGTAACTGGTAAGCTTGCCATCGCTGGCTACTTGTAGCAACTCTTTCATCGCCTCTTCAGGCAGAGATTGAAGGTATTCGTCCATGCTAGGTGAAGTAGTGTGCGAGAAGGAAAGAGCCAGATTGCGTTGTTTAAGACCCACGACGCAAGTCCAAAATAGCAGAAGATATCAGACGAGACGGAATAATGTATCATTACATCATCTTAGACAAAAGATCATCTCCAAAGTGGATTAGAATGCTGAGCCAGTTGGCCACACAAGCTCCTTACGAGTCAAGAGTTGCGCAATATTGCCAGTGACCTCAAGTGCCGTGCCGGCGGACGGCGCGATTACGCTGCTACCGCTCCTCTTCCTGCTCCTACTATGAAAGACGGGTATCAATCAACCAACGTGAACAGAGCGCCAGATACCTTGAAGACCCCAAAAGATTTCTGCAACAGCGGAACAATCGATTCTGTTAGCACATTTGGCCCTTGAGCGTCCCCCAGCTGCAAGAACATGCTAGGAAGTTCGTGGAGTACAAAGCTGCAGAGTATTTCCGGGCTGGATTTCCATTTCCCAAAGGCCGATACCCAGGCTCATGGCGGTCAGAAGGAAACAGCTCGAGTGTCGCGTGAGAATGAGAAATTCGACCGTGTTTGGCCGATCAGAGTTCCGCTTCGCCTCCATCTTCTCAACACCACTGCCAGTAGCATTTATCGCTGTACCTATACTCGTCTACTGTTTGAATCTCTCTTAATCGGTAACATGACTCTCACACACTTTTTTGGCGACTTCTGGCGACCTCGGCGCCGATTATGTTGCCATTGCGGTACTGATGTTTCCTGTGGCGCACTTCAAGTTCCACCTTGATTCTGTGTTTTTCGTTTTCAGCAACTCCGTCCGTGGGTGTTGCGACAGTGATCTCTCGCACATTTGGGCTGGACATTCAACATAGTTAACAAGTGTGTTACTATTACCCCGACAGTTTACAAGGAAGTTCGAAAATAAAAATAATTTAATGGCCCAGCGCTGAACCGCTGAGAGCTCACCAATGCAAGAATTTATCTCGGTCAGTCGATCTCGGAGTAATTCGTCATGGGGGAGAGGAAGCGCAAGAAGGAGAGATGGGAAAGGGACGAAGACCGGCGCAAAAGTGGGAGAAGGGAGGGACGCAGATGGACTGGCAGAGGAAGGGGAAGGGGCGCAAATGAGGGAGAAAAAGGAGGGCGGGTGAGACGGAGGAGGAGAAGGGAGGCGAGGCATGGGAGATGGAGGCATGGGGGAGAAGGCGCGCAAGGAGATGGAGGCAGGGGCGGAGAGAGAAGAAAGAGCGAGGAGGGGCGGATGGGCACGATGAGGAGGGCGAGGGGAGGAGGATGGGAACGGAGCGAGAGAGAGTGGTACATAGGGGATGGATGAATGAGGGCGGGGGAAGAACGATGTGGTGTGTGGGGTGTGAGGGAGGATGGGAGATTGAGCGGCCACCATGCCCGCCGCCGTCTTCAGAACAGGATGCTCCCCCCCCCCCCCCAAAAAAAAAAAAAAGAAAAGAAAAAAGCCAAGTTGGGGTAGGGCAACGCACCGATGGTGGGCGACCCGGGTGCGGCAGCGGGCGTGGCGGTGGGGTCCTTGAGGGCGTAGAGGGGCGAGACGACGGAGCCAGTCGTGCAGCGCGTGCGGCCGTCCTGCGTGATGCATCCATCAGCATCGATTGCGGGTGGTGATTGCAAGCCGACCTTGAGCCAATGCAGCTCCATGTCGTCCGACGTGCGGCATGCCCTTCGAGCTTGCCTGATTCACGCACAGCACCGAGGGAAGACAAACTTACAAGCGATTCCTGTCGATTGCATATGTAGCGGGCATCGTCTGCGCGGGCTCGCCGCCATCGGGGTCCATCGCAATTCAAGTCGAGAGGGAGAGACACCGTGGGAAGGCGCTTCAAAGACTCCGGCACGCCCCGAGAAGAGACCGGCACGGCATCGCGGAACACGCAAACGGCGTCCTGGGCTGAGGACGACAACACGGAGAAAGCTTGCTAATTGTCCTCGGCGCGCGGCGCATGCTTGTGTCTGTTAGCTTGAATTCGACCTTCAAGATCCCCCTTGAGCTCCTAACATCACACACCCTCCACTGTTTCCCAATTAACCCAACTTTCAACGTACCGCCCACACCCCCGGTTCGCCCAAAAATAAAAATAATCTTGGTTAACACCCTCTCTTTGATAGCATATGTACGTATTTCCTTCCACTCCGCTCAACCCCCTCCCCTGTCTCAACTATGTTTTTGGACCTGAGCGCTGACGTCGTGGGTTCA